TATAGTTAAGAGAGTATTTTATATTTTTTTAAAATAAAAAACTCAATAAAATAACGTCATATAATCGATGATAATTTATATAATTGCCTATATTTTAAAATGATTTTACAATCATCTCAAAAAAGTTTAAATTATTCCACAACCAATCATAAAAAATTAAAAGACAATATTTTTTAAAGTCATTTCTAAAAGATTAAAATTGAATTTTAAATAGGATAATCATTGGAAGTATTTATTTTCGATATTTTTTTGGGAAAAAAAACATGTCACTAATCCACACCCATGGGACCCATAGAACAATTATCTATTGGCCTCTCAGTTTGTCGTCTCTCATTTCCACATTCATCTCCTTGTGTATAATTTTTTTAGCATTTCCTTAGTCTTCTAACCTGCGCACCTTTTCCTATCCTTCACCCACTCCACATGACACTCATATTAACCTCTCTTCAATTCCATCTTTTATCGTTTTTTCTCTCTTTACTCTTTCCCTGTTCACTTTCCAGCAGGTTTTTAAACAAACAAAATTGGTTTTCTTTCTCTCTTGATAATATAAGTTGAACAGCAGAAAAAAAGGAGGGACCTTTGAAGTTGAAAAAGAGAAAGGGGAATAAGATTAGATTAAAATCCTTGTTGGGTTGTTTTCTTCTTTCGTTTTGTGGTATGAATTTTGGGTTTCTGGGTTGTTCTTCACAAGGATCTGTTTTAAGCTTCTGGGCTTTGCTTTTGAGTCTTTAAAGAAGGGGAAATGGCTGGAAGTAACGAAATCAACCTCAATGAGTGCAAGGTACAGTTTTTTGTCCTTCTTCTCCCTTTTATTATTTTGTATACTTTCTTTCTAGAATTGGGTTGTCAAGTTGAGCTTTTTAATGGAATTTTTATTTATTTTCCTTTTTTTTTGTTGTTGAATAAAGCTGGGTTTTACCTGATTTTCTTCTTCTTTAGAGCTGTTAGTCTTATCAATCTTATTTATTGAAGTTTTTTAAAATAAAAAGATTTGGGGTTATGGCATATTGCTGTTAAAAGTTGATTCATTTGCTATTTTTGGTGTAAGCAGTTTAGTTTGCCTTTTGAGCAATGTTTCTATTTCTCCAAGAAAGTTGGAATTTTCTGATTTTAGCTCAGTCTTTGGGTTAGTTTTATTTGGAGGTTTTTGATTTGATTGTGAATATCATATTAGATATTGGATGAGTCTTCTTTTGTTTGTTCAACTTGCTTTGGTGGATAACCCATGACTTGACTACTTTCTGCAAATTAGCACTAAAATTTGTGTTTCTTGGCAAGGTGAGTACAATTAATTTCTTAGGGTTTCCACGGTTTCTGTTCATTTAAATTTGGTGGTAATTCTTTTTCTTTGCTTTAGATTTGATTTCATGGAAGATGAAGCTCATTTTTAATTCTTGTTTACTTTTGTCTCTTGATATATGGTGGTTCCGCTAAATACATGGGTCCTCATCTCTAATTTTAAGCTGGCTTACAATCTTATTCGTCGACCCGATGGCACTTTCCCGATGGCACTTTCAATCGTCACTTGGCGGAGTTCCTCGACCGCAGAGTCCCTGCTAATGTGAATCCAGTTGGTGGGGTTTTCTCATTTGATGTCCTCATCGATCGTGGTACAGGCCTCCTGTGTCGGATTTATAGACCGGCTACCGGTGAAGAGCCTCAGCTTACTATTGATGACCTTGAGAAGCCTGTTACAGCTGAGGTTGTCCCTGTTATAATTTTCTTTCATGGGGGAAGCTTTGCACATTCATCGGCGAATAGTACTATATACCACAATCTGTGTCGGATATTGGTAGGTACCTGTAAGGCTGTTGTGGTCTCCGTGAATTATCATCGTGCTCCTGAAAATAGATATCCATGTGCTTATGATGATGGGTGGACTGCTCTTAAATGGGTTAACTCTAGATCATGGCTTCAAAGTCGGAAAGATTCGAAGGTTCATATATATTTGGCTGGTGATAGCTCCGGTGGTAACATTGCACACCATTTAGCCCTGCGAGCCGTTGAATCAGGAATCGATATATTGGGAAATATATTGCTCAATCCAATGTTTGGTGGAAAAGAAAGAACTGAATCCGAAAAGTGGTTAGATGGGAAGTACTTTGTTACTCTACGAGACAGGGATTGGTATTGGAGGGCTTTTCTCCCCGAGGGGGCAGATCGGGACCATCCTACATGTAACCCGTTTGGTCCCAATGGTAGAAGTCTTGAAGGAATCAAATTCCCAAAGAGTCTTGTGGTGGTTGCTGGCTTTGATCTTATTCAGGATTGGCAATTGGCTTATGTTGAAGGGCTCAAAAAGGCCGGCCAAGACGTTAAACTTCTATATATGGAACAGGCTACAATCGGTTTCTACTTGTTGCCGAATAATGACCACTTCCATTTCGTTCTGGACGAGATAAGTAAATTCGTGAGTTCTGACTGTTAATAGAATTAACCTTACCCACAGACAGCACTGTATGAAAGGAGCTCGACAGTCCACTTGTGGCCATTACGAAGTTTGCAGTTCACGGTTGTACGGTACTACTGATCACTTTCATATTAATCATGGTGTTATTGGTCTCTGCTATTTTTTCTCCTTATATGGTGAAGAAGAGGTATTTCAGCATGTAGCTGAATCGCTAATTGTTCCGGTCTGCATTCAGTGAAGTTAACGGCAATTATAGCCTTTTTGACTATGTTTGCAGATCACCAAGTTTAAGTGTTACAAACTCCGACGTCACGCCCCAAAGGAGAATATTTGGTACCTGTTCAAGGGATCGGTGCACCCGTTTATTGTTATATATGCTAATTTTAGAACATGGATTAGGAAAGTTCCATGGTGTTGTGACCCTGTATGTCTATACATATCATATGTGTTAGTATATAAAAGGATGTTTACTTATATCGGTTTTTTCGCCTACTGTTATTAGATATTTTCCTGTTTGCCACTTTACTAGAAAAGTGTAAAAATACAGCTATGATTTATAAGATCGAGAAATTTTGGATTACATATTTCTGGCTATATACTATTAAACTCTACAGGTTCAATGAGACTGATGAGAAGAACTTATGTTTGCTTGATTGTGTTTGATTAGCTACAAGTTAATCTTGTTGCATGATTGATGACTTGGTTTCAGCCAAAGTTCGATCCCCGGAAGATAGTTTCGGAGACGACTGAACGAGGCATGAAAACATGCTGCCATTCCATCCATTAAATCGAACCAGGACAAAAGGATAGTAGTAGCCCCCCCATGGTTTGAGATTGAGATTGATTTTGATGCTTTCTTGTCATTTCTTGGATGTTTGTAAATGAAGCTTCGACAGCTGCATACAAAAAAACAAAGAAATTGGCTTGTTTGCAAAGGGAAATCAAAGCACAAACACACACACATCTTATATACAATGGTGGTTGCTATTTGGATGCATTAAAGGGGACCACTTTGAGAAGGAACTCACATCTTTTCTAAGCTGTTAGGATTTGCTTTCATGGTGCTAAAAGAATATTTACATAAATGTTGAAAAACAGCTAAGCCTCCAGATAAAGACATCAACAAGCCTGATTTAAATGGCTTTTATGAACCAATTAAAAATAGGCATAATATCAAAAAATATCCCTAATGTTTAATTAAATATTCATTTTGGCCCCTTATTTTTTTTTGAGCATTTTTGCTCTAACATTTCATGTTAAGGTAAAAAGACACATCTTTGGCTGAAACCATTAGTCAACAAACGGTTAACGTACTAAAATAGGGGTATTTTTAACCTAAAATGAAACGTTGTAGGGGAAATGCTCTAGAAAAAGAAAAGAATAAGAGTTAAAGTGATTATTTGGTTAAACGTTAGAGACCTTTATGTCATAAAATGAAACGTTCAGGGATAAAATACTCTTAAAAAACAAGGGTCAAAATGATATCTTGATAAACATTAGTGACTAATTTTAGTATTATTTGTTAAAATTATGGGATTAGCAGCATAAATTACTTGGCTAAACAAGAGAATTGGGTTTGGTTTTTTTATTTGTTTCCTAGTCATGTGGTCTGACTAGGATAGCTTATGTGGCATGTGAAAAATTGATAAATATTCCAACTTGATTATGAATGGTTCCCCATACAAAAGTTTTTCTTTTACCATTCTAAAGTTGTCCCCTTTTCTCCAAGCTGGATGATACTATGTATCAGAATATAAAAATGTCTAATCTTTAGAATAATGATTTCCCATCCCAACTCCCAGACCATTTACTTTGAGAGATTTATGGTAATAAAGGCCTTGAATCTGAAAACATTGCTGTCCAGTCAAATATTATTACAGAGTTATCCCTTTCTGATGACCTTTGAAGAAAGTTGCAGTGCCAGAAACAAAGATCAGATGACATTGTGGTTAAGGGTAGAAAATTTACATAATACAAGTTCACGAACCTTTGAAAGATTGGGATGAGCCTAGATGAAGTGAGAAAGACATTGTTGTCTACCATCTAAGTCAAATGGTTGAAATGTCATTCATTTGAGCATAATTAAGTAACAAGAAAACAGATGCTTTGGGTTAAATTGTTGTTCCCAAGGGCCATTAAACCTTAAGCAACAGTTCAATTGAAGATTGCTGTAATGGCCATTAAATCTAAGTTGCAGTGATGCATGTATATGTTGCAAGGAAGCATATACCTAGTCAGCTAATACCTTGTACTCCAAACAACTACCAGATTTTGGAAAACAGTAACTTCAGCTGCAATCTGTTCATTATATATAGAATCAATTTGGTTCACCTGACCTAGCCTTCATTTTCATTTCACTTTCCAAAAAACAAGAATCAATCTGAAAGAAAACCGAGATAATCCGAAAATATGAAGCATTAACACATAGAACATCCCCTGAAGTTACTACAAAAAGAATATTGTTTATTGCAGAGCAAAAAGATCAGAAATAGCAACATATTATGTTGTTGTCATAATGTTTTCTCCATTACTCTTGTAGTATGAAAAACTTGTGCTTAAAACAAAGTTAACCGATCGATCGAATCACTCATCGTCGCTTTGCAGCATAGGCAAAGGTTACTGCAGCCAAAATGGTTGTTGCCGAGGAGACCAAAGTCCAGTAACTCTTTTTCTTTTCCACTTCCACAATAGTTTTCTCCATAACAGCAACTTTCAGGTTCAAATCTTGAGCCACTGTCTCTTTATTCTTGAATGCTTGTTTGATTGCCTCTAAGTTGGTTGCAATTGGTTCGATTTCGTCTTCAAGCTTCTTTTGGGAAATAGCAGCTTCTTCCTTCTCCTTTCCATTTTTTTCATCTTTAGAGTCGCATAACAATGAGGCAGTGTTCTTCAACAGAGTCAATAGTTGCCTATAACTCATGCTGGTTGATTCCATTTTAGCCCTCAAATCATTGAAACTACTCTTTGCCTCCAAAAGTTCCTTCTGCAGCCTATCAATATCTTCAGCCATCGATCCACAGCGACTCTCGATATCCTTCTTTTCCTTCATTAGGTCCTGCCATTCAGTCTTCTGATGTGCAAGTTCTTTTGTAGTTTCTTCAAGTAGCTTCTCCATTTCCGAAACTTTCAATTTCAAGTTAACACCATTCATCTTCTCCTCATCCAATACTTTCAAAGTATTGTCCTTCTCAAGAGTTAATTGGTCGAATGAAACTCTAATATTGCTAACTTCGGATAACAATTCTTCATTCTTCTTGTTATGAGCCCAACATGCCTCGAACAGCCTATTGACAACAATCCACAGATCACTCATGTCTTCTTGTGGCTCAGAATTTTCATTCTCACCACTAACTACTTCTCCAAGAAACTCCTCAAGGAAGTCCACAACCTTGTTCTGCAAATCCTTTAGTTCCTTCCTGTTCGTTTCCAACTCTGTTCTAGCTGCATCTTGTTCCTCCAATAACTTCTCGATTCTTCTCTGCCTATCCTCCGACTCCGCCGTTGCCAACTCCAATGATTTCGAGGCAGAATCCTTCTCCTCCTTTAACCTATCAAGACACATTTCTATTGCTCTCTTCTCTTCCAACAATGAACCAATCTCTTTCGCCTGTTCAGCCTCCCTATCCATTGCTTCACGACAATTCTTTTCCAGCTCGAGTGCCTTGGCGCGCAAGATTCCCTCTTCCTTCCTCAAATTCAATACAACCTCACTCAGTTCCCGAGTTTCCTTTTCCAACTCACCAATCTTCATTCTTTGTTTATTTCTCTCCATCTCATTCACTTCCTTTTCCTTCTCGAAAGTTTCAATCTTTCTTCTAAAAGTCTCAACTTCTTGGACCAAATCTTCAATGTTTTTCTCCATCAAGTCTTTCTCCTCCGCCATTAAACTCTTCACCTTCTCCAATTCCTCAATCTCCCCAAGAAACCTATCACATTCCACTTTCAGTTTCCCAATTTCTTCCCCTAATTTCCTCTCCTTTTCCTCCATTGCCATAATCTTATCTTTCATCAAACTACACTCATTAACCTGCAACTCAAAATCATTTCTTGCCAAATCCCTCTCTTTACAAGCCAAACTCAACCTTTCCCTCTCACTTTCAATAGTACAAATCAGTTCATTCACTCTGCTATCCAACGCCCCACCCATCTCCTTCATTTGACTCGCCATATAAACCCAAAGCAACCCGTTTTGCAACTCTGAACTCATACTTTGAGTCAACTCAGCGCCAAGGGTTTCATTGGCTTGAACCAAGTATTCAATCTGATGCCTATTTTCATAGGCCTGCTTGACAAGCAAAGCGTTAAGAGACTGAAGACTTTGAACCTTCTGGTTAGGGTCTTCCGTGGAAGATTCTCTGAAGGTCGAGTCTTTTGCAGGTTCTTGAATTTCTGAAGATGGGTTTTGTTGTTTTCGGCCTTTGGATTTACGGATAGATTTCTTCCCGTTGGCCATTCTTGGCAGTATTGGAGAAAGGTGGGATTTTTATGGTGGAGAAAGGAGATATGGTGATAGATTGATAAAAAAAAAAAGGAGTGATGGAAGAAGAGAGTTATTGAGAAGATTCAATTTCGGAAAAAAAATCATTAAATATTATATTTGTGTATGTCAATGTGTTGATTTTAATTCTCAATTTTTAGATTCACTGTTTCCTTTTAATGGTAAAATTTATTTATTTTTAATTTCAAACAAAAATGTAATTGAATTCAATTTAAATACATTGCAAGTAGTCATTTTCAAGTGTATCTTTCATTAATTTTTAGTCTTTAAATGTATCAAGATCAAATACTATATTTATCTAATTTTTAATAATTTAAAAGTAAATATAAAATTATAATTTTTTTAATAATTTATTAAAATTTATATAAATTAAATTATTATAATTATAATATGAATGTATTATGATATAAATTTAGATTTTTAGTATTTATTTTTAATTATAAATTTATTATTATAATTTATTTTTAAAGAAATTTAAAGGGTTCTGGATAAAGTTTATGGAGTACAATGTATTTTTTTATGAAACAACGATTGGATTCACGTTCAAAAGTAAAAAATGATTAAAAAAAGTAAAATAATGATGAAATTGTAAATTTTGAAATTCAACAGTTATTAATGAGACAATCAGTGATGACCAGTGATGGTCATCAACACTAGTGAGTGGGGATCTACGATGGAGACTTTGACTGAATTTAAAAGGGTCAAATTGATATTTTGTCAAAGTTTAAAGATTAAATTAATATTTTATTTAAAATTTATGGTTAAACTAGTATTTTGTCTAAAGTTTTAAGGTTAAGTTAGAATTTAACAATTTTTTATGAACATGTCATATAATAAAATAACTAGAGTTAAGGAATCATGATCATAAATTCATAATAAGACAAATAAAAAATAAAAGTGACCAAAATAAGACAAGAATAAAAATAAAATGATCAAAACATATATATTTTAAATCAATTACCAAAATAAGACATACTTAAAATAGAAAAAGATCATCAATGTAGTAACCCTTAATTTTAAGGAAAGCCTACTCCTTTGGCTTAATCAAAAGAGTTTTCAATATTTAAAATATAAGTTTTATGTTTTTAATATTTATCATTTATTAATATTAAAATTAAATTAATTAATTCTAAATTTAAATATTAATGAAAAAATATAAAAAAAATTAATAAACGACAAATTCCTCTTTTATTTAAAAATATTTTATAAATAAAGAGTTAATTGAATCGTACGTACTCAAACTATGATTCTCTTTCTAAAAATTTTCCTAAACTTCAAAATATTTCAATTTTATCCCTAAATTATAATTATCAATCTAAATTAGTCCTCAAACTTTTGAATATTTTAGTTTCATCCCCAAACTAGATCCTTCATTCTAAATTGGTCCACAAATCTTTTCAACATTTCAATTTCATACCAAATTATATGTATATACTAATCACATTCCATGTTAATAAAATCGTTAAGTCAATCTATATTTGGATGAATTTATGGATGAAATTGGAAGATCTAAAAGTTTGGAGACCAATTTAGAATGAGAGTCATAGGTTGAGGATGAAATTAGAATGTCCAAAAGTTTAGGGACCAATTTAAAATGAGAATCATAGTTTGGGGACATATAATGTAATTAACTCATAAATAAATCACAGTGGTTAGTAGATTTTTAAACTATAAAAATGAGTGAATATTTTTTATTGAACTTCAGATTTCCCGATTGCAAAAAAAAAAAAAAACTTCAAAACGAAATATCCATGCAAAAATAGAAACTTTTCAAAGCTTCCATATTGTTTATGTCATTCTCTTTTTGTTGGTTTATCACAGGGTCGGTCCAATGAGTTTTAATGTCTTGGGCGAGATAATAATTTTATGTCCATATACTTGTACCGTATAATAGATAAAACATCGATCTTCCATCGATGATTATGCACTGTCTGCATCGAAAAAACCATCCAGCTTCCATTAATTGTTTTGGATTTTCGAAAGGAGAATTAATTAAGCATCTTTTGACGTCTGCACTTCTAAGGGAGAATTAAATTTTTTGGATCTTTGTCGTCTACCTTAAGTCTTCCATCGACCGATCAAGTGTTTTGAGCTAATTTTTTTAGACCAAATATATATATATACATACTATAAATACTAAAAAAACCGATCAGATGTTCAAAAATGAAGACTCCACGCTTTAGGTGTGCATAGAGCAATGTTCAAGGGAGTCGAGGGCAACAACTTTTTAGCTGTGCAAATGCTGAAGACGCATAGAAATTATGGAGTCTTCAAGGAATTGCATAAAGTACGTGTCTACAATTATTTCTGTAGAAAACATTCTATAGTGAGAAATAAAATGTGAGATGGTGAATTGATTTTTCAAAAAATATTATTTGGGCAATTTTCTCATAAAATAATCCTATAATAGAGAGACAGTGTATTCTACACAAAATAAATAATAGGAAAACAGCAACAACAAAAAACGAATTAATGAAACAAATTTGGGATGAAGAGTCAAAAATATTAAAAGTTGCCATAAATTTGGGTCAGTGCGATTAACTGCGGTATGAGTATAGTCAACAGATTCATAAATAGATTAGGTACGACCCTGTCTAATCAAACCTTTCTATTCAATACGCAAAAACTACACCTATTTTCTTCTTCACTTTGAATCATCCGTTGGATTGAAATTGTTTCCAAAAGTTTACCCACATTGGAAAGCATGATCAACACTCCCAAAATAAGCAAGATCAACGGATGTGATTGAGTAGAGAATCAAAACCTTGGGATCTTCGTCTACACTTTCACGTGCATGGTATCCACCGTAGACAGCATCCACATCATGCACCCCTCAAACATGTTGCCCTGGGCTAACATTTCCACCGTTCGAACTCCATTGTTCCTGTAGGCATTGGAGGTGAAGGTGGCATTTTGCCTAATGGCACTATCCCTCCAGATGTTGGTGGCTCTGGCTATCATCCCATAATTGACCAGGTCCAGGATCATCTTTCGAACTTTTCGAATAACCAATAAAAGCGTGCCATGTGTCGCAACAAGCTATATAGGCTGCATATATATGAATTATAATGGAAACCCCATGATGGGTGACAATGAAATGAAGAAAAGCAAGATGTTGACAATTTTTTTATACGACGGAATGTCAACAGCTGGGGAATGTAGGTATAGACAAGCAATTCCATTGGCACAAAGAGGACGGCTTGATGTCAATTCTAACTATGGCATTAGAAAAGCTTTCCTTCCACAGGTCCCCATTTCCTTTACTTGATTGCATCTCCGAATTATTATTCTTAACGACGAGACGAGAGTGCCGATCGAGCGTACTTAAGCGTGTAATATCCTTCGATTTAAGCTGCGGTTTAAGTTCTAGTGACATTTTTTCCCAAAATGACATAGGGTGGCAGGAGATATACTCCTCTTCAGCAACCCACAGCACAACAAGTGATGATAGATGCAATATCTTCAGGTCCTACAACTGTGTTTCTCATGGGAGCACACACAAACTTTGCCATCTTTCTTATGAACAATCCTCACTTGAAGAAAAATGTCAAACATATTTATGCCATGGGAGGTTCCGTTAGACCGAACTGTCCGAAGAATGATGGTTCGGAAAATTCAAGTGAATGTTCGGATATCGGTAATCTGTATCCACAAGATAGCAATCCGTACGCCGAGTTCAATATATTTTCAGATCCTTTTGCTGCCTACAAGGTATTCGTTTGATTGTTTTCGTTTTGCGTTCATGGACTCGTTTTTATCTAGTATTTGAATCTTTTCGTATGAGCAGGTTTTGCATTATGGTATCCCAGTTACACTTATTCCTATGGATGCAACAAGTACCATTCCTGTAACTAATAGTTTCTTCATGGAGTTTGAAAGGAGACAGGGTACTTATGAGGCAAAATATTGCTTCCAAGCTTTAAAGATTATCCGCGATACCTGGTTGAGTAACAGATTTCATGAGGTAATGCCTCTCGAAATCTTAGTGGTTCTTGCTTCGGATTTGTAGACATTCAACTTACTGATGAAATGTTGGCAGCAATATTGTATTTGGGACTCTTTTATGGTTGGTGTAGCATTATCTATAATGCGCAACTCTTACTATCATAATGGTGAAAATGAGTTTGCAGAGATGCGATATATGAACATTACCGTCGGTACCTCGAGCCAACCTTATGGAGCATTAGACGGCTCGAATCCACTCATTTCAGGGTATTCGATGCCAATGTTTAATGTACACAAGAATGGGGTTCATAGTGGCCATGTTCAAATGGGAATGCAAGATCCCTTTTGCCTTCAGAAAGGAAAAGGACTATGTCAGGTATTAACAGTACATACTCTAGCTGATTATACATGTAAGTTTTTATGCATCCGTTCTCACACCGTAAGAAATTCGTCATATATCGTTTGAAAAATGTAGCTTCTTTCAACTATGGGATTTATCATCTTACAGAATTACACAATGCTAACAGGACGGTTACACGAAAGAAGATAATGGAGAGGATGCCGTGCGTGTTCTCGTTGCAGTGAAGGCTAAAGAAAATTATGATAAGGGAAGCTCACTTGGGAGAGAATTTTATAGAAATTTTCTCCATGTAAGCTCCTATACATATTTTATCAATAACACCATTATTCTGTTGTTTAATTTAATTAAGTCACATACTAGTAACCCGGAAATGCTTAATGGTGCTAGGAATACAGTTAATGTGGTCGATTTTTGGAATTGAATTGTAGGTTATAAATAGCCCTGAGAGAACTGGAAGGTTTGATATCAGAAGCCAATACCCTTTCCACAAGGAGGTTCTTTACAAACCAGATTTTGGAAAGAGAACGAGGGGAAAAGCGACTGTTTTCGACATGGATATGAGTGTTGGAGACTTTCTAGCTCTTTTATATCTCCTCAAGTTACCCGTGGAATTAATTGACCTCAAGGTAGTTTATGTCGGATTGGATTT